CTGCCACTCACAGAGGCTGAGGTCGTCCTGGGACTCACAGGAACCAAACACGCAGAGAGCAGGAGGATCTGCTCTGACGAGATAAAGACAGGACGAGAGGAGAGCTTCTGGGTAGACGTCTCTGAGCTCACAGAGAGAAACTTTAACAAACACATAACGATCTGAAGTCAAACTTTCGGCGTCTGAACAAGTCGAGCAAAAACATTTCCAGGTCTTGTAAACAGTTCTTGTTTATTGGCCAAATAAAAAAATCTTTATTAAGGAAACTTGTGTAACAGACGTCGACCACAACATTTTTAGAAATTAAGCATGAACCATGATGCTTTGGAAGCTGCGGCGAACACAACAAAACCGTCATCATGTTAGCGATGGCGGTCGTAATTTTGAAACCAAAGTTAAAGTAAAAGATCTTCAAAGTGAGTGAGAAGCGTTCCCTCACATGCTGCCACACTTTCTTTATTGTTAGCAGATAAACATGGCTCCATGTTGACCTCTGCATTAGTGACATTCCTGCAAAAACCTCAACACTCCCTCAACCAACGCCGGCCTGCCCACAGATACAGGCCGGACATTTGGATTCCTGAGCAGGTCATCTTTCCTGTGGGGTCATTACGACTCACTGACTAAATACGATATCTAATGCAAAGTGTTTTCTTCTATTTAAACACACTCACACAGTTTATTTTTACAGATCAGTGATGTGAGGATAAAAAAGTATGTGTGTAAATAACGCTGCTGTTCTTTATGCTCAGTGAAGCTTAGACGTGTCAGATATCAAGCTAGCCTTGGATTTAACAGTCAAAACTGCTCTACGGAAGTCAAAATAACCACAATAAAAAAATGTGAAACCACCCAGCTTATCAACACAGAACTACATCACCTGGTAGATATTCTTTCAAATGTCCTCTGGTGGAAGAGGGGCTCAAACTCAGGCTTGCGTTAACACCAGAGCATTGTTCATCTATTTATTAAACGTGAAACTGGGACAGGATGGGATAACCTATTCAGACATTTTGTGTAACTTTAGAAGAATCAACATCAGCTGTTACACAGGCTGTGTGCCTGCTCTATAACCTGTTAATAATAATAATACCACAAGTCTAAGGAGGACTCTCTGCACAGACACACACTCCTCAGGTGTGAAGTGTGTCACAGCAGGTGCAACGTTTTGTGGCACCAAAATGAAAAGGCACCAGTTGACGACAAACACTTTGTGATCGGGTAGACATTGGAGTTCATACATTAACAATAACTCTTCCTGCACCAGAAGAGGAGGAGCACATGATGTTGTTTTTGAGAGGGGAGGGGCTTCAGCCAATGGTTGTTGCATGCATAAGTTGAAGGCTTCATGTCAGAATAATATATTCATGTTTTTATGTGTCCACAGGTTGATTGTGGGGTCAAGAGATACACAAAAAGTGAAAAGCAAAGTGAGAAAATTCTCTTTTTGTTAAGAAGAGTTTGAATAGCCTTAGGTGAGTCAAGATCAAAACAGACAGAAAGCACATCCCAGAGTTGAGACTGACCCCAAGAGCAGAAAGCTTTTTCACCAGAGTATAAAAATACTTTCAACGGCTGCAAGCCAGGGAGGATCATTTTTAAAAACAACGTCTCATTAATGAAGAACAGCAGAGTGGAAAATATACCACGATACAGCCCATCGCAAAGAGTCCTGCGCTCTCGTGTGAAACTGAGACACTTATCTGGACAGCCACATTTTACTGAAGGCAAGTGAAGGAGCAAACAGCTGCACCCAAAATGGCCCTGCCCCTGAAAGAATGCCAAAGCACAATCCCTCCCCCCCCCCCCCCAAAAAAAAGGCAGAGGGCCGGGCTGCATGCAAGACCTCTCACATCGTGCTAACATAAGGGGTATCAAAACGGGGGGGGGGGGGGGGGGATAGGCTGAGCAGAAGAGCACTGCAACTTCAGGACATCAAGTTACAAAGAAACAACACAACAAGAGGCACAATGAGCAAACGTGTCGACATCATGACGTAAGTAAACTCGTACTAATCTTATAACATAAAGACTGAAACACAGATACTGCAGTTTGTGTTGAACAATGCTTTGTGAACCTTTACGCCATGCCTCATTAATAATACATCTGCATCTCCATGCTTATCCATCTTTCATAATGCACCTTGTATGTCGGTCACGATGGAGAAAAGGTGCAAAGTCTGGAGGCAGAGAAGTGGGAAATCTATGCATCATAAATGTGATGCTGTGCAGAACACATATGTTTCCTACTTTCTCCTCAAACCTTAATGGATGCAGTTTTCAAAAAGCATGCTAACACACCTATGTCGGAACACTACAAGTGTAGCTGCTTGTTCAGAGAACAACATCGTTTTTATCTTTGTGTCCACAGAGCGCCCTGGCGGCGTTTCATTACAGCCAAACATCTATAATCTTATAGTTTTTGTCCGGGAGCATGAGAGATTAGGGTCGGGAAAGGTTTTTGACCTTTTCAGAGTGACAACACAAAACTGGAATCATGTTCTAAGAAATAATAACAGCAATAAAAAAAACTAGCAGTGCACAGGACGTTGAATAAAGGAGCGATGCTGCAAGAAACAGAGCTGTGACCGATCAGCATCACTGAGTGTCAATGATCAATGTTTCCCATAATGTTCTGATTCCATTGACACATGCAGACTCATGCAGGCTTAAAGAGGCAGTAGGCAAACACACACACACACACACGGAGCGTGGAGGAAACCCTCCCCTCGCGAGCCCACTTCTCTCCCATAGAGTGGAGCAGATCTAGGTCAAAGCTGATTAATGTGCCCACAGCTCCCGAGAGGCTTCTGGTCAGGTGGCAGCAGCGCCTGCTCCCTGCCGATGAATACTAATGCACAGTGTTACTGAATATGACTGCTACGCTGCAAAATAAACTGAGCAACGTGAAGGAGGCGACGCAGACGGCGGTGAGAACATCTGCACACAGAACAGAGACGATAAGAACGGTTCACGGTCTCATTGTGCAAACTGTTTTGTCAACACTGTGAGTGTTTGTGTCTGAGTCCAGGTTTAACTAATCATGAGCTACACAGAGATGTCAGAACAAAAACACAACATGACCTACAAAATATGACGACGATGCTTTTTTAAAAATTCTAGTCTATTTTATTTATGGGGCTCAGGACGATCACATATTATGCAGCAATAAATGATTGCACAACTCCTCATGGCTGGATTACAACAAATGTTCCTCAAAGAAAGGCAGGGCGTCCACTTGTTTAGAACAAGTGGCTCAAAACAAGGGGTTCTCAACTGGGGGGGTGTGGACCCAAAAGCTGTTTTCAGCGGGTCGCAATTGTGAGCCTGCAATTAAAACTGCGCCAAAAATTCTACTAAGTGCTTTTAAAAATGTTTGTTTTGTTCTGTCACATGTTTCGTACCGTCTGAGGTCCAGACTGTAAAATAGTTAATTAAATAGGTCGTGATTTTTCATGAAGGAGTTGGTGTCAGCCAGTTGAGAATCAGTGGTTTTAACTTTGCCATACATCTACGTTTATAGTTCACAAATCTAACATTCTTACATTCAATCAAAAATCAAACGTATCCTCGATAAAGCCGACATTTCAGACATCGCAAATCCTCTGGTTTCTCTCTGAACACCAGCAGAAATGATCGTTTCATGTTATTATACAACAACCAATCTAGAACAGCAATCAGCTTGAAAATGATTTGGTTATCATTTAAGACATGTGACCCAAGCTGTTTGAATTCCACATGAATGTCTCATTACGTCAGTCGTTCAGCAGGTGATAAACTGACTTTCACCTCGGGTTGTTACGGATGCAGAATTTCAAACCTTGATATGATTCTGGTAAAAATCAGACAACATCCATACCTGCTTTGTTACCACGGCAACAAAAACACAAGCTTTAGAGATTACCAATATTTGGTCCTTTCTACAAAAACGTTGGCAACGTTTTTGAGCAGTTCAGTTTGCACGCACTTCTAACAGTTTAGGCGCTTTTAGTTTTTATAGATTATAAAATGAACAGAGGTTGTGTTTTTTTTAGAACACAGCATGTGTCAAACATTTTGACAACCTTAGTTTTAACCAGTTGATACACTCTGTGAGCCACAAGGGGGACGAAACATAATTATCCAACATCCAATAACCTGCAGGGTCCTTAGTGACGAGTACACACCTGTAATACACAGGCTGACACTTTTCACCTGAAGTCAAAGTCTTTTCCTCCAATCATCCTACCAGCAGTCAAACATTTTCTTTAAAGCTTCAACACGGAGAGAATATCTTCTTTAACTTCACCATGTTTTACAGGCTGTCATTCTTACCATGCAGAGCAGGGCTGCACTAAATCTTTAAGTTAAAACCATCACACTCTAAATGCATACAACACTTGGGTGATATCTTACATGCAAATCGAGGTTTCTACATTAAGAGAAGATGTCAAACATTGTCCTGAAGGCTTGTTAGTCCTCTAACTGACCCACAGGGTGCAGAAGATGTCTCCATGTCAATGTATTTATACAGAGTTATGTTGCTATTTGGTGGCATGCATTCCGTGAAACAGCCCAAGCACAGGCCTACATAAACTAATAAAATGTTTATGTAACACACTGACAGCACAGAGCAGGACAGAAACAACCTGAGTTACTTTAGTCAGCTTAACTTTTTTATACCGGCTGCTAGTTATCATAACGGATAATAAAAAAAAACTATTTCACACTTTCAGGGTAAAGATAAGATGTTCATGTGAATCAAACAGTTTGTAATTGATCATTTTGATAAACTGAATATTTGTATTTAATAAACTATTGAGAGTACAGTGCTTATAACGCGAAACATGAGAGGAGCTGGAACAGCGATGCTACTCGTTAGCTGGTAGCGTTAGCATTAGCCAGCTAGCTCGTTAGCTCTGTTTTGAAATGTGTGTCAGCTCGTCTCTAACGTTACCGTCAGTCGGGGCGTCGGTGGCCCGTTTCTTCATCAAAACACTGGGTGTGTGGTGTTCGTGTTACCTCGGCACGCAGCTTGGGGATGATCGGTCTATCTCCCAGGTCGCAAACAGGTTCATTGGCACGGGCATGCTGCCGGAGCCCAGCACCACAGCCCCGGCCAGCCCTCCGGTCGGGAGGGTAGTCGGTACTGGTCCTCCGCCGCCGCCGCTGCTCGGGTTCAGGAAAGCGGCCCGGACGCCTCCTCTCTCTACAGCCGCCGCCATCATCACCTCCTCTGCCGGGGAGCAGCACTAGCTGAGTGTGGGACGAACGCGGGAGGAGCCGCTGAACTGTGCTGCCTGCTCCTACTCCTGCTCCAGCTCCTCCAGACTCCCTGCTCCTCTTACACTGAGGCTGCTCCTCACTCTGACCGGAGATGCTGCTCGGCGGGGCGGGGCGAAGTTCCGCCGATAGAGGGCAGCAACATCTCTCATAATACAGGGAGGTTGTGAAGGTATGGAGCTTAGTGAGGATTATTAGTTCTACATATTTTACTTTACACAAGAAGTTCTCACCCAGCTTAAAAACTAAATAAAATGAAAATAATGACGTTTTTAAAAAAATATTTTTGTTTCGGAATTGCTGCTTTATTTTGAAGTTATATTGTGGGCCCCTTTAATGGAAAGGACAGCTGAAGACAGACAGGAAATGTTGGGAGGAGAGAGGGGTGCAACATGCAGCAAAGGGCAGAGGTCGGAGCGACATAACTGCTAGGCCTTATTTTTTTTAGTTTTAAGGTTAGTATAAAGTCTCCCTGCTGGCCAGTGTGTGGAGCTGTCAGCAGTAAGCCTTCATAGTGATAATGAACAGTAGATCCAATCATCGTGATCAATGCTTTCTTACTGCTGGGTTTCAGATGTGTCTTTATTAGAAGCTCATAAATGAGTCCTGTGTTTGGTCATTACAGACGACCCATGAGTACCTCAATCCCATGTCTGATACCAACAAGATTACTGATCATGTCACATGTTTGTACTTTTGAAAGAAAGCTCAGAGACTGTAGTTTTTAAACGCCTGAGGGAAGGAATGGTTGTAAGTAAAGATTGATGAGTCAGTTGTCTCTTATTCAGAAGGTCAGGGGGTCAATCCCCAGCTCCTGCAGCTAGTGTTGTAGTACTCGAAATCAGTTTTGGTTTCAAGAACACTTTTTGGAGGTCTCGGATTATCTCGGACTTGAAAGCGTTTTTACTCAGTCTTGTCTCGGTCTCACACTGGGCGAGCTCCAGATTTTTAATCAAAACCGGTCAAGACCACCTCTGATCGGCTATGTTTCCACGTCATTACTGTGATTACGATGAAAACACCTCTTTCTTAAAAGAACAAATAACTTCAATTCATTCATAATTGGATTTTAATTCCCCAGATACGACCACCACCTTCCTGGAGTTACGGCTCAAAGTGAGGGACACGCCCCCTGCACACAAGATGATGATTATTCAGGATATTTATGGTGTTGGTCTTGTCTCGGTCTCGAAATATCTTGGTCTTGAGGTGTAAAAGTCCTTTGAGTAGTCAGAAGACGAGTAAATAAATATACAAGCTCAAGTCCAATTACCGTTTACTTAATACCTCAAAGCTCTTTATCATTTTTTTCCACATTGTGGATGATAACAGATTACAGAGGTGCATTTTGACAACACATAAACCAAGATAGATGTCTAATATAAGACTAATAACAATTACATGTTGCTTTCGTGGAACAACGCTGTAATAACCACACAGGAGGAACACTTGAACTAATCCTAAACTTGTTACTCTTCTTAGAGGGTTGGGCCTGCTGGGTATTAAATCCACATTGTTCAATATCAGTCATCAGTGTGTGATGAACTCCAAACACCTGGTTCCTGTGTGTCTGACGTTGCTCTCAGTACACGGGTGCTGGCAAACACTGACTGTACCTGCTGTGACAAGGCAAGCGAGTAAGTCTGACTTGACGCGACTTGTTCAGGAGGGTTGGGTAACGTGTGTGACAGGCGGCCTCTTCAAACTGACTCTGGGAAAGAAAAGAAACACTTCCTGATTTTGTTGACTGTTACTGTGTTTCAATCATAAGTCTGAACATAAAGCAGGACATCATTTTACCCAACAATCTTTGATTTTATTTGTTTATTTAAGAGGGACACATGTAATGAGCATCGCTTCATGTGTCAAATACAAAGTAGAGGTCATGCAATCAGGCTTCTAGTTGTGGCTGATTTGTGACCCCTGACCCTGCTCGGTTTAGGATTAAAACAGAAACGACAGAAACAGTGAAACTAAACAAACACAGACATTCTAATGCAACACAAGAATGAGACTAAAATAAGGACCGGCAGTAAAATAAGGGTTCTAAGACAAAGGACAGTCAATGACTAATACAGACCGTGGGGGGGGGGGGGGGGGGGGCTGTAGTTAAGTCTGGAGGAACCAGAGGGTCGCCGGCTCAAGTCCCAGTGCGGACAACATTTAGAAAGGTAGCTGGAGAGGTGCCAGTTCACTTCCTTAGCACTGTATAGGTGGCCTTGAGTTAGGCACTTAACCCCCCCCTCCACTAGCTCAGGAGTGCTCGCTGTGTGGAACCCCCCTCCTCACTCTGACATCCCTCCTTTAGTGCATGTCCACAGGATCCTGTTTCTGCATGTGTGTGTGCAGCATGTTCAACAACAGAGTGTAAAATTTTAATTTCCCTTTGCAGGATTAATCTTCTTCTTCCTCAGCCCTCGGTCTGGTCTCTCTTGTGCAAGAGATTTTTAACCTCAACGTAACCTCAAGGTAAAATAAAAATGAATCAATGTGGTGTTTTCTGATATTTATCATTTTCAGCCACTTCTACCATCTCAAAATCCACATACATGAAAGGTGATTTGTGACACAGTTGTGGAGTGCATCGCCACCTAGTGTTTCAAAGCAGAAGTACAACTAAATGTAGGACAGTTGAAACTTATTGCACGTTGTTTTTCATCCACTAGGGGGCAGACTGAGTGCATGTTTGGTGTACTGTATTATAACCAGGCCAGCTCTCATTGCAGCAGACTTTCAGTATGAGTGTGTTATGAACTAAAGGTCATCTGCAGTGCTGAATGAGAGCAAACAAACAGGGCAACCAATGAACAACCTTTACATATCAACACTGGAAAAAGGCTCTGATACAGGTGAATGAAAGGGAACACCTTCCTCCTCCTCGTTCTCCTCCTCCTCGTTCTCCTCATCCTCCTCCATGTCATCCTCCTCCATGTCATCCTGGTCCTGGTCCTGGTCCTGGTCTTGTCCTTTTCCTCGTTCTCCTCCTTTCCTCCCCAACAGACCTTTTCAGGAGCTCTTATTTAAACTTACTATTAACACACAAACATTTATTTTTGAATTTTAAAGAAATCAAAATGATCATGAACCATTCCTGCACCTCTCCATCCTCCTTTAAATGCTCCCCCCTGAGGGCGTCGTCTTGGGCTCCAGAAAAAAACAATAATCTAATTATTTCACTTTATGCCAAAGATCAGATGCTTTAACCTCAAAGGCTCAGTCTCATTTTGTTTTAAGTCTGGTGTGAGGAACAACCAGCAGACCCTAATCAGAGGACCGCAGGGTCCTGCTGGTGACAGTTTTGGTAGAAATTCAGAGCATACCCACTTCTTTAGGCACCACTACCCCACTGCTTGAGACCTTTATTGGGTGATTTTTTCAGCAGCAGCATGTTGGACCACTTGTAACTTGTAAGCCGCTCATTAATGTGATGCTAAAACATGTGAAGAGAGAGTTACAAAAATCAAGTCTTAATGAAAACAGGAGAATGAAAAAAACATCTCTAGCTGAGGTCTGGACTCACCAGGTCTGAGTTTAATTATGGCGTCCCAAAGAGTTCACGTGCTGGTCCAGACTCAGAGCCGGATCCGTTGCAGGATGCTTTCATAATTTATTTTTCACACATTGGATTTTCTTATTATTTCTTTATAGTGGAATTAAATAAAACTGTGATGTTACATCTCACACCCAAGAAATGTAACTGGCACCTGATGGTTTTACTTTTCATATAAAAAACAACCTTTACCTGATGCATGTAGCCATTTTCCCAACCTTTATTTCACTTCCACCTTTGGACACCAGGTGTCCCCATCTACTCAAAAAATGGCCCATTTTCCAATTTGTTGGAAATAAATAAAAAAACCTCTTTCTTTCAACATTCATTGCATAATGTTGGAGCAAAAACAAGAGTGAAGGATTTGAATTGAGTGCTGAATAAATGTTTTTGATCTTATTTACATTTAAACATTAAATATCTGTTTCCCCCTCTAATTCAGCGCATACACATGATTGTTTTTCAACCTTAGACCTTAAACACAACTATTAAAGCAACAATATATTATTTCTACCATAGAATTATAGTTTCAAAGGTCGATTTCACAGAACAATAACCTCCAATAGGGAGAATAGGGTCTCTCTCATGTCCACAGAGCGCCCCGGTTGCCTGCTTATAGGGAGAAATGCGTACGTCTTTACGGCACTAGTTCACACAGCAGCCTTCAGCTACAAAGCGCCAGTTAGCCCGTCTCTGTACTGTTTGATACGACGGCTGAGAGGAAGAGGAAGAGGACGGAGACAGACATAACGACAGGCTGAGAGCTGGAGCTGAGGCGGGTTTTAAGCCTCCTGACAAACCGTTAAACCACGCCCACCTGTCAATCAGGTCAGCTACACGCCTTATTGTTAATAACTCTTATCCTTCATCAAATCAAAACTGATGAGTCATCAAAACATTCACCCCCCGTACAGTGTGTGTCGATCGAGACATGAGCTAATCACACCTATTTGGTTTTTTGAACCAGGCTGTAAACATGTTAATCTGTGCTGTAAAAACAGGCTTTTTAGAATGGGTGTGTATGTGACTTCCTGTGCTTCTGCAGCCAGCCTCTAGTGGACACTCGAGGAACTGCAGGATTTTACTCTTCTGCATCGGCTTCATTTTTCAACACCAGAGGTTGCTGCCTGGGCATCGTGACACATTTCTTGTAACAGTTCAATTTATTTACCTTTTTCTGCAAGAGATAACAGTCGCTATGTAAAATATTAAGACGGCCTTTGAATATATATATAACCGCTCTCAGCATGCACTGTAGGTTATGTAAGACAATAAACAGGCCTAGAGTAAAATATGAAAAAAGAATCGCCTAACACACTGAATAATGTCAAAACGTACTTCATAAATCAGTCTGATATCACCCGGCATGGCACAGGTTACTCTCCCTCCTGATGTTTTCTCATCTTCCTCTCCACTTGCTCACTCTACCTCTCTGATTGAACTCCTCCTCCTCCGCCCACTCCTCCTCCTGTGTGTGTGTGTGTGTGTGTGTGTGTGTGTGTGTGTGTGTGTGTGTGTGTGTATTGTGACACAGTGACACCATTGACGTTTCCACGG